AATAGATGAAAATTTCTTTACCCACAGAGACGGCCTCTCGATTAGTTCATGCGTGCCACCGCTATGAAACTCTGATCGAACAGTTCCCATAAGCCTGAGCAATCTCCCCTATTATCTCTGCACGTGAGAATGGCTCGCCGAAACTTCTCCCGAGTTTTACTAAACGCTGGACCCAATGAAACGAATGTGGATACATTCAAATAAATAATAATACGATATATATTACGATTCAATAAATTATTCGCTAATGAAGTTGAAAAGCAAGAAAATATTGTATTCAGTAATGGAATAATAAATTGTGAGAAATAACGGAATACCACTTGTTCAAGGTGGCGCTCTCTTAGTTGGTTATCCCTTCGAAGGCTTATGAAATAAAATTGTATTCATATACGCTCCGTGCGTTACCTGTAGGTATGGTAGTTTGACGGCGATCGGTCTGCCCCTGCTGGCATTTTCGAGTAACATCGCGGTGAAATTTACCCTTTGACAGGCCGGAAGATTCGTGAAAAATTTAAAAAAATGGATAAAATAATAAAATTTGGATTTGTCGATATTCACGAGAATTTCTTGACGAATAGTGCGAAGGCCAACGGAAAAAATCTCGTCGAAGGTGGTCATCTGTCTCATGTAATTGAAGTCCAAAAAAGAGTACTAGGCTCCACTGTATCGGCTATAACTGCCAAAGTGATCCCTCAAACCTCTGTGAAAAAGTCTCAATATGATGTCAAGTTGCAGGTAATTATTTTAATTTCATTAGAAAATCAAACGAGTTAATTAAAGTTTTCCCCTCCTTGTTATTTCAGTTGGACAGTGTACGAAATGTCACGTCTGCTGTATGTTCGTGTCCTGCAGGTCTAGGTGGTGGGTGCAAACACCTAGCAGCAACGATTTATTACGTCAATTCTAATCACAGTTCAGCCACGAAGACTGATAGTCTTCAACGTTGGGGCATTCCATCAGCAAGAGAAAAATACAAAAAAGGATGTACAGTCGCGAGTCTTTATCCAAGGCAGCCCAGATGTCGTCAAGCTCCTTCTGTGGCGTCTGATATTCTGCTCAACCAACGTTCCAGTGAGGATTACACCAGTGAGAAGTATGATAGTGGGATGATACACGAGGAAAGGACATTTTATGAGAGAAATGTGTTTATAAATGAAGATGATGATTTGATAAAAATTGCTATCCGAACTGTAGATCAATCTGCCTCACGAGAATGGTTCGAACAACGTAAATGCAGGATTTCAGCAACTAAAGCTCATCCCATTTTCACCAAAAAGAAAGATTTTAAAGGGTTGGCGACTCGATTCATTGAAAATCGAAAATTTGAATCAGAAGCTACGAAATACGGTCTTAAAACTGAGAAGGAAGCAGCTTCGTGGGTTAGAAAAATTCTTGGAGATCAGGGGAAACTCCTGCCTGTTGGTTTAATTATAAAGAAATCTCAATCATAGCTTTGTTGCTCCCCTGATGGTATACTAACCAATCTTAATTCCACTGAAATACAACTGATGGAGATTAAATGCCCGTATACGTGCAAGGAAAGCCCTATTGTTGATGTTAAAGCTGGACAGATAAATGTTCCTTATTTGTTGAGAGATGAGAATGGAGGTTTATGTTTAAAAGCAAGTCACCAGTATTATACGCAGATACAGGCTTCACTGTATGTGACAAACTTGAAAATTTGTGAGCTGTTTGTTTATTCTCCAAAAGGGAGTGTGAGCGTTACCATTTTCAGGAATGAAATGTTCTTAAAAGAGTTGATCCGGAAGTTGGAACATTTTTATTTCACTTACTATTTGCCAAAGTTACTTGCAAAGAGTATTGGATAAGTTGAACTCATCAATTATGTGTGTTAGGCGTACTGGTAGTAAGAGTTGGTCTATTGCATAATTGTTGGTTTTTGTTATTAAGATGTCGAAGTTTTATAAACTGTTCATTCACTTTCAATAATAATATTGTTACCAAACTCATATAAAATATGATAAAATGACTTAAAGGACAGTTATGGATTTTAAAAATGAGTAGAAGTTTCGTTACATGTTTATAAATTAATAGGTTTATTTATTCTGCAATGGATAGTCGACGATACAAGACTTTTTCGTTTGCCTCATTCCAAAGATAAAGTATTATGCAGCTTATGAAATAGTTCAATTTAGTGTCAAACTAATTATAATAATAGTCATGAAAAAAATTAAATACTTATTTTAGATTATATCACTGAGATATATCATGTTTCGCAGTAAAAAGAAATGTTACAGATATCTTTTAAAAATAAAATGCGAAAATTTTGTACAATTTGTTGTTTCTTAAAAATCCTAATTTTTTTATATTAATGTTTTTCTGAATTCATTAACGGTGGCCCAAGATTCACAAGGGCACACACCACGGTGAGTATGTCATCGATATGAGGAAATAATTTAGATGGTATCAAACGCAGAATCGAAAACAGTTTAATTCGCTGAATGCATCTTTCAATGTGAATACGAACAGCCGCGATTTTATAAGTTTCCTCGACTTGTTCTGGTGAAAAGTGTTCTTCTGTCAGGAACGGTGGCATCACAGAAATTGCTTTCTTGTTCTCAATATCAGTTTGTATATGTGGCAATCCTTTGTCTGCCAGGACAAGGTCATTGGGCTCCAGTAGATTTAAAAATCCACAATCATTTGTGATGAAACAATCGCTCGACCGACCCCCATAACATTGTGATCTAAAACTAATGAATCCGTTCGGTGTACATCCCAGTAACATTTTGAAGGTATGAGCATGCTTATATTCAGACCACGTTAATACTCGAGCATTCACACCATGAGCCGTTTCTGTTTTGAATTCAGTGCAATCGATAATTACTCGGTAATTCCCAATCCTTTCCTCGAAAGTTTCTGGTACATTATACTGGACCACTTCTTTCTTAGGCCAATAAACGTACGAGGATAATGCCACTGGTAAGCATTGCAAAACGACGTCAAATATCCGTGACGTTGTTGTTCGATGTACATTAAAGAACACCCCAAGACATGTGAACGATAATCCGAGTTTTTATTTGAGTAGAAATAACATCAGCTTATTTTGTTTGGATAAACTTCTGCTTCTGAGGTCAGGCAGCAAATTCAGTAATAATTTAAAAACCGTCAAGCTTATACCACATAAATCATGAACTTCTTCAGAAGTAATTGACTGATAACCATGGAAGCCTCTGCACATTGGAGCATCAGACTATAAAGCACCACACACGACTTCTTTCGTTTCCTTTTGCCTATCAGGAAGAGAAGGTTTCTCTGGAGTGATATGTTGGAGATTTACTTGAATTTCTGCTGTATTACAGCCCTCTTTTGAGCGTAAAGTACGCAGAAAATAACTGAACCACAGTTCATTTTCGATATCCTGAATATCTGTTTGACATTCAATGCTACACATTGACTTAATGGTTTTTGATGGTACAGTTGAAAGATCCTCTGGCAATTCCATTTGTTTATCTAACCTTACTGATGGCTGAAGGTTCTCAGCAGGACTGTTACTCATGGTACGATATTCTATGTTGATGTTGCCAGGAGTTCTGAATTCAGCATCATCTTGCTCCATGATAGCGCGTGAGGGTCTTTAGTGGATTGTACTCTCCTCACACGAATTAGTACGAGAGAAAAAACATTCTGGTTTCCCGTAACAATCACATCAAATCAGAAAACCTGCATTTCAGTGAAATTTTCACTTATTAGGAAATGAGCGTGCATGATTTTGATTGTGGTTTATGTATAGTATTTATTTATTTGTTAAAAAAGGAATTGATTTTGGCATTTTTTGTGTTTTGACTTGAAAAAGAATTTAAGGAATGATTTGAAAATATTTGCTGAATAATTTTTCACGTTATACATGATAAAAAAATATTTTTTATTGAAAGTATTTAATAATTCCACGCCAAGTGAGTTAACCCCTGTCCCTCTTGAAAATTGATAGCGATTCTTTTCTACAATGGAGGGCGGATGGGGTTGAAAAACTTTCTCAAATTTCTCTGACAGCCCAGTTCGAAGACATGATTTCTTTTGGCTTTTCTTTTTTGTTCACTATTCAATAAAGTTTACTCATTTTTTAGTTCAACTGCAATTTTTTCTGATGAACGCAGTGAGGAGATGAGTGTGGTTGAATGAATAAATAAAGTCGATGAGGAAATGGAACTGGACAAAATGTCAGCTCATCTTCTCAATTTGTAATGTTCGATAATGTATTGTGTAATTTAGTAGAAAACCTAGCAAATTTGCTCGATATTTCTCAATAGAATTCCAATAGACATCCTATAGAATTCCAATACAATTTTGTCATGCGTGTGTACATCTACATGGAAAGAGTTCAATTTACCGCAAAAAAATTACATCTTCCGAAGTTTAAATTTAAAAAACCATCTGAAGATGTGCATAGAATTAGTCGTGTTAAGGTACTTGCTTAGGCTCAGTTGCACCATCATTTGTTAACTAAACCGCCAGATAACAGCCAGTCAGCCCATACGAATTACACAGGGATAAATTTATCTGGGGGTTTGAATAGCTATCAGGACTTGGTGCAACCGGGCCTAAATTAGTTATACCTGGTGAATATTTCACAATGTAAGAAAGACACGAAATTTGCATCATATATTGTTGAGCACATTGAAAAACAATTTCCAAAATTTTAAGTATTTTTCCACACGAACTTTTGAGATATTCATCGTCAAGAATCGAAAAAAAAAACAAAAAAATAATTTTTGACAAGGCAGTTCTCAAAGTTACGTGGAAAAAATACTTCAAATTTTGAAAATTGTTTTTCAATGTGCTCAACAGTATATGATCTAAATTTCGTGTCTTTCTTACATTGCGAAATTTTCACCAGGTATAACTGACTGAGGAAGTACCTTAAGGCTTATAATCTTATAAAAAACGTTGTTTCAAAATTATTTTAGTCACTTGGGTACTGTATTTTCGAAAAATTGACTATTGAGAGCGATTACAAAGCTTTTATTCGGAAGTGACATAGATCATTCGGGCGATTCAGCCTGCAGATAAATATTAATAACAATCTAGAACTCCGGAAATTATCGTTTATTTAGTTTCAGTTTTATATCAAATGTAAAACTTAAAGCTGTCCTAGTTGCTTATGAGGCGTCAGTAGCAAGAGCCTCGGTGAAGTCAAAAATAAATATTGACAAAAGAGAAAACCTGCCTCTTCAAGACCTTATTTTCAATAGCCTACGACACATAGTAGCTGCTCTCAACAAAACTTAGAGAACTTTATAACAAAACCCTAAACATGCCATCTAAATCTCCCCCGGAGTTTCAGGGCCATTCGAAAACGTCCATTCATTGTTTTTCCCTAGTTTTTGTCTATTGAATTTTCATAGTTTCATCTATATTCTATTGGATTTTTCCCATTTACAGAGCACAAAAGAAGCTGCGGAATTTTCCGACAGAATCTATAAATAAAGAGTTTTTCTATAAATTTTGTTTGTGCATGTTTTTGCTTCCGAATGGAAGCCTTGTATTTGACCGATTGTTCGATTCTCTATTTTTAATTGCAAATTGTCTAGAATGTTATGAAACGTGAAAAAACGATGTTTTTAGGTCATGCCTGTATGTATGTGCTGGAAAATTCGACATTTTGATAATTAATTTTTAGAAAATTCAATATAAATACGGTGAAATTTGTCGATACAAATCTGAAATTTTGACTCCTGGTAGCTATGATTAAGCTTCACTTTGATGCACCGTTTCAGCTCGATCGGCCCAGTAGTTCCTGAGATATAACAATTTCTTTAAATTTCGTTTTTCCTCAATATCTCCAAATCTACTGGACGGATTTTAATTTTTTTGTTCAAAATACTCGTCTTGATAGGCCCTATCTAGATCAATCAAAATATCTACATTGGTTCGGATTAAATTTTACGATATCGCCGTTTTTCTGTTTTATCATCAAAAATCGTTTACACGATATGTCAATAAAAAATAGAGATAGCGAGTTGAAATTTTGTACACTTATAGCTCTCATAACATCAAAGGTTCGTATTATGGGTGGGCTCAATCGGTCAAGCGGTTCCTGAGATATTCAACCTTTTGTGTAGATGTATTTCCTTAAATATCTCATGAACTATTTGACGGATTTCAATTTTTTTTTCAAAATACTTGTCTCAGTGGGCACTATCTATATCAATCAAAATATGTCTACCCGTTCGTACAAAAGTCAAGAAATATTGCCGTTTTTCAGTTTTTTTCATATTTTCAGTCTTGTGTACTCAATAATTTAATAAAAAATGAGGATAGCAAGTTGAAATTTGGTATGATTATAGCTTTCATGATATTAAAGGATTAAACTCTGGATGGGCGCAATCGGTCCGGTGGTTTTCGAGAAATTCATTTTTTTATGAAAGTTCATTTTACCAACAGGTTCGAATATCTCTTTCTAAACACCCTGGAGAAAGTCGGTATCTGTCGCAGGGACAGAATGTGAAGTGATATGGTGAAACTATTCCAAAAATTGAATGAAAGTATGGTTGTATTGAGTCACCGGGAAGTATTTTTTAAGTGAAATTCTGGATATCTAATTTTTTTGCTTCCGAATGGAACCCTTGTAATGGATGATTTTTACGATCTCTTAATTTTGCTTGGAAATGATGTAGAATGTCATGAAATGTAAAAATATGATGTTTTTAGAAAATGTATGTGTGTATGTCGGACAGTGTATGCCGATTTTTCAGAAAATTTTTATAAATCCCCCCGAAAAAATGACTAAAGCTTGAGCTAAAAATCTGAAATTTTGTCGGATAATTGGAAATACATTGGAGCATTTCTGGGCGCCAGTGCAGTTTAATCGGCCGAGTAATTTTCGAGATATAGCAATTTCTCAAAAATCAGTTTTCCTTAATATCTAAAAAATTACGTGACCTAGTTGAATTTTTTTGACGGGAAATTATTCCTTCCGATATCTATCGACGTTTCATGACCCCTAGAAACTTTTCCGACACTTTTTAGGAACCAGTATGTATGTGTGGGTGCGGGTGTGTGTGTGTGTTTTTTTCTTCCGAGGTCTTAGGGCAAATGTACCTAACCGCACGATAGTGGGCAGTAAACTGCCACACCTCGTGTGGGGCCCTCACCCACTAAACCACTTGACCCCGGGAATTCGTCGACCGTTCTTTCCCTCGCGGCACCACCATTAAGTATTACTTCGCGAGGGAGGTCTCAGCTGTTTGCTCTTCCACCATGACTTCATCCACAGTACGTCCCCCTGCCCCACTGATATGTTATGTGTGGGTAGGAGGTTCCAATGAATTCTT